TAATTCATTCACAATTTTCTAATTTATTCACAACTAATTAGTAGCAAGGTCACTAATATACACATTAAAACATACAAAAACTCAACTAAGGAACAAGGTAATGCAAAATTACTAATATATTCACAATTTTCCATTAAAACAACCTAAAATTACACATTAAAACATACAAAAACTCAACTAATTAACTAACATTTTTACTAATCTCTATTATATTCATAATTACTCATTAAATCAACCTCAAAATAACCCATTAAAACATACAAATTTTTCAACTAATGAACAAGGTAATGCAAAATTACTCTAATCTATAATATGTATTCAAAATTACTCTAAACATACAAAATTACTCTAATGTATAATATGTATTCAAAATTTCTAAATAAACAACCAATGCAAAAATTTAAAAAATTAGGTAAAATTATATACATTCCTTGACTTTAATTTTCTTAACAATAATTGTTCAAAATGCTATTGAAAATAATAGAATTACATATTTCAAAATAATTGTTCAAATTTTAACAAAAAAATAAAAACTTACCCTAAATTAGTTGGAGGTGGAAGAAGCTAAGGGGATGAGAGAATGAGGAAGACCCTCGCTGGTGGAGGTCGACAGGCGGTTGTGCGCATTAGCGGAGGTAGCCCGGAGGTGGAGGCGGTGCGGGCTGCTGTTGTTTCGAACAGAGAAGGGCGGCGGAGGCCGGCCGTGAAAGACAGAGAAGGGCAGGATAGAATTAACGGCGGTGGTTTTAGACTCCTCTGTGGCCATAGAAGGTGGTGGCTGTGGTGGAGGGAAAAGGGGGAGGCACTTCATACACTGTGAAAGAGAACGAAAGAAGGGATGAACGAATGAAGGGAACGAAGGAAAGAGAAAGAGAGGAAGAAAAGAGAAAGACGCGCTTTTTTTTTTTTGAATTTGGCACCGATTTGAATGGCACCGGTTCAAACCGGTGCCTTTTTAATTTTTGGCATCGGTTCAGGTTGAACCGGTGCCTTTTCTCTTTTGGTAAAATCCCGCCCATTTCTAGACCGGTTTTGGGCACCGGTTTAGCCTGAACCGGTGCCATATGGGGGGTGCCTAATGCTTTTTTTCTACTAGTGATATGACTCCCTAAAACCAAACTTTTTTTTTTTTAACTTTTTAAATGATAGATTTTTTAAAATAAAATAAAAGATGATAAAGATATTTTGGGAAAGTAAAATTTATCACCCAAAACCCCTTATCACTTCATATACAGGAGATTTTGTGTGTGACCAGGTAACACACAAGTAACCCCCCTCCAACCTAGTAACCCCTGACCAACCTAGTAACCCTTCCGACCTAGTAATGCCTTACTGACCGACCAAATAACTTCTAAATGAGTAATGCCTTACTGACCTAGTATCCCCTGAGGCCCGACCGAGTAACCCACAACTGAGTAATTATCCGACCTAGTAACTCTTACCAACCCCCGATCGATTTAGTAACCTCCGACCAAGTAACCCCTTCAACCTAGTAACCCCCAACCTAATAAACCGTTACCAAGTAAGTATCCCCTAATTCTACACCACCCTTAAACTCTATGCCACCACAACCACTACCATATTCAATGCCCCACGCCACCACCAACTCCCGTACCCATTGCCCAACACCACCAGCAACCACACCACCACCACCTCTCATACCACCAGCAACCACGCCAGGCCACCACCAACTCTTGTACCCATAGCCCCGATACGCCACCATCCACGATACGCCACGCCACCACCACAATTCACCGAGCCACCACCACAATTCACCGAACCCACAAACAAACCCAGATCTAACCAAATCCACAACCAAATCATTAGAAAATAAATTAAATCGAACAAATACCTTAAAAATTAACAATTTTAAATTTCACTTTAAATATGGCTAAAAATGTCAAATTCGACCATGAAAACTCATGGTTGAATTTGTCCTTAAAGCCTCAAACTTGTTTTCGACGTAGGAGTATGAGGAGTTCCCTCCCTTGCTACTATTGCTGACTTCTCTGCCTCCCACCGGCTCGGTCAAAGTTGGTTTCCGTCCATCTTCTCCGTCACTGTCGCTATTTCCTGCACCTGGACAAAAGAGAGAAGAAAGAGAGAATTTTGGGGGTTGGGAAAGAGAAATCTAGCGTACGTGCTGAAGAAGAAGAAAAGCATAGAGTGAGAAAAGAGTGAAAAATAATTTAAAAAAATATATATTGTGGCTGACCGCACGGTGTGGCCAGCCTCATATGAAACTTTGTACTTTATATATTACTTCGTACTATAGATAATTTTTTCCATAAATGGTCATCCTCGCTATCTCTTACTTTATCATTTTTCACTCCTTCAATAAGGTATAAGAAGTTCAATAAGGTATAATAATCTCAAAAATGTCTAATAAGCTAAGTTTAGATAAGTTCAGCTAAGTTTAATTTCAGTTCGATAAGCTGAGATCTATTCAGGTGAAGAGAACACGCCTTATAAAACACTTACAAATCTAATATAATATGTATTAAAATAATCCTATTAACTTGTTATAACATGTATTCATTTAAAAAAAAAAAAAAGTTAACTCATTTGATTGTCACTTTTGCTATAACATGTAACTCATTTTAAAAAAAAGTATACAAACTTGTTCAAAAACAAAAAATTATACTCCCTCCATCCCCATATTGTCACTTTTGCTATTTTGGATGCCATTAAATGTTTGTCACATTTCACATTTTTAGATTAAATAATACACATTAAATTACAATTTTAACCTCATAATTTTTTGTCCTTATTTATGAGGGCTTCCTATTTCACCCTCATATTTTTTTACCCTCTTTAATTGTTGGTCCCCAATTGAAATTTGTAACTATGACTTTCTCTCTCTATAAAACATTTTGGGGGATGTTAAATACCGCCATCCAAAATGATCAAAACCGCCAACATTAAGTGTTAATGGACAACCATGCCACCAATCACTAACACCTCGACGCCACTATCTTCCCTCTTGCCACCAATCACTAACACCTCGACACCACCACTCTAATTGACGACTAACACCACCACCACACTGACCGACGACCACCACCACCACCACCCTGACCGGTTATCCTCCACATCCCCCTCAAAGACGACCCACCACCTTCCCCCTCAAAGACGACCCACCACCTTCCCTCTTTGGCGAGAAAGTGGTGGTTTTTTTTCTAGCAATCGTACCAACTGGAGCCTAAAACCGGTTATCGGGCACGGTAACTGGTTTAGGGCTCCGGTTACCATGGAATTGGTTAAGGTGCATGGTAACCGGAGCCCAAAACGGTTACCATGCGTGGTAACTAGAGCCTAAAACATGTTACCATGGACGGTAATCAATTTTGGGCTCCGGTTACCACGCACAGTAATTGGTTTTGGACTCCGGTTACCGCGGTTGCCAAAAAAAAACATCACCATCCCGGTGGCGTGGGTAGATGGTGGGTCGTCATAGAGGGGGGGTGGTGGGTCGCTGGTCAGGGTGGTGGTGGTCATCGCTAATCGGGGGTTGGGGGTCGCCGGGAGGATAAAGGGGTGGTGAAGTGGTAAGGGTACGATTGTCCATTCACACCAATGTTGGCGGTGGTATTCATTTTTGTCGACGGTGTTTAGCAGCAATCCAGAACATTTTTAGCTTAGTCATCAATATGTGTAGTGTAATTATATTGATTGATGTAATTATTTCTTATAATGTCAGGAAAAAAAAAAAAAAAAAAAAAAAACTCATATGCACTCCCCCTTTCCTCACGTATCTTTAAAAGATCTTACAAGTATTATATAATTACATCCTACCATTAGCCGTTAGTTGTTACAGTAAAAAAAAAAATAATAAAGGTCACAAACCGTTTTTTTTTTTAATTATTATTTATTTAACCCAATTACATCTTCCACTCCATTATGTTTTTAAAAAAACACACACATTATCAAGAGAATTAATAAAAATGAGAAGAAGAGAAATACAAGTACATCATTTAGGCAACAAAATAACAAAAAAAAAAAAAAAAAAAAAAAAAAAAGACAAGAAAAAATATCACACTTCTCAATTTTAAGGAAATTAATATTCGTATCTTTTAAAGATCTTTCTCCGTATTATTGTTACACCCTACAATATTCACAAACTTTACAAAAAATCTGGTTTACATTATTTATTGAATGGCGGTTGCTGGCAACTTCTTCTCCTTCCTCTTTTAAGGTTCATGGCATCTAAAGGAACTGATACTTGACGATATCAACATCTTTCTCCACTTCAACACTACTTTTGCTCTAAATCTTAAAGATTAATCCAACTCTTAAATTATCTTTTCCTCCAATTTCAATGTGCGATGATATTAAAAACTTCATAATTCCTCCCACTTTCTCTCTCCAATTTCAATGCTGCAGTTGGTAACGGAGAGGGAGAAGGGGGTTGAGGGTTTGATGGAGGAGAGAGAATTTGAAGGTTTGTTAATGGTGGAAATGTTTAGTTTTGAAAAGAGATAAAGATACGGGATGAAAGTAGAGTCATTGAGTTAACTTTTGCATTTTGTGTTTATTTTTTTTATTTTCATACTCTGTTTTTGTGAAAAAAAAGGGTCACTTTTGTGAAAAAAAGGGTCACTTTGGTGAAAAAAAGGGTCACTTTTGTGAAAATATGAGTCTTTTGTAATAAAAAGGGTCACTTTTGTAATAAAAAGGGTCACTTTTGTAAAGAAAAAAGGTCACTTTTATAAAAAAAAAAAAGGGTCACTTTTCGCAAAAATGTTCGATGTAGAATAAAATTATTGTAAACCGGGGGCATGCAAAAGGAATTGTACAATATTACCGTTAGGTATCAGTTGTCAAAAATTAAAAAAATAAAATAAATATCTTATTAACCTTGGAAATCAAGGTTATAAACGAGTTTTTTTTATATTCCTATTATAAATATATCTCATGTTTCGGACAGTAGTACATCTTCTTCAATACTTTCACACTTCATTTATATTTTTCCTCTAAAACTTCATTAGTTGCAATTAAATATGGGAAGGGCGAAATTAGCTAGAGTATTCATTGAAAATCAGAAGAAGAGAAATACATCCTTTAGGCTGAAGAAAGGAACCTTGATTAAAAAAGCGCTCGAGTTTTCAATTCTATGTGATGTACCCGTTTGTGTTATCGTCTTTCCTTTTGATGAAGGTAACAAGAAAATCGTGCAACCCGAAATTTATTCGTACAAGGGAGAACAAGAAAATCTCAACTCGGCTGAGTCAACAACAAATAACCCGGAGTTGGGTCGTGAGATAATCAATCGTTACTTAAGTGACGTGTTGAAAGATGTTAATGAGGATAAATCATCAAGAATTGATCAAGATTTGCATAATTATACAAATCTTTCCAAGTTTACTAATGATCAACTTATTGAATTACTTGGTAAATTGGATAATAAGATTGATATTGTGAAGAGTAGAATTGATGTGATTAAGAATGTTAACAATAATGATGGTTTTGATGCGGCACAACAAGAAATTGAAGTCTTGAGTGATGATGATGGCTTTCTGTTGTCTGATTTGGATATTGATCTCGATGTCGATGTGATGTTTGAAGATTTGAAGGTACTGACTGTAGGTCTTAAGGTACTCTAAGCGGAATTTCATAAATCACATTCATACGCACCTAAACAAGATCTCATGCATATACAAATAAAGATCACATAATAGTTTAGAATTAACCTTTGAAGCGTGAATCCTCTTAGCAATCTTCTTCTCTACCGGAGATAAAGAGCCTCAATTGTAACTCCTCTATTCGGTCCACCAGATTGAATCAACACTCCACCAATGCTAGTTGGACGGGAAAAACCTTTCACCTTTCTTGGAGTTGAGAACCAATTTTAGAGAGAAAATATTGAGAGAAAATTTACGTTGTTTTTCAGAAAACTCAATACTGTGTATTTTAATTATCCCTAACTAATTAATATATAATCATATTATTATTAATTAGGTTAGGATTTTCTCTCCCCTTTCCCTATTTGTCCGGTCACCCTAAGGCCCACTCTGGGCTTCGGGTTTCTTTATTGATCCAATCCTAATGTGTGACTTTGTAGGATCCGTTTAGGCAGGTTTCGGGTTTGTTACTTACTAACCCAAAGTTCTATAGCATTCTCTAGCAAGACGTATAGACGACCCAAATAAACGAATTACTATCTCCATAATACGATCCATGATTATATTAAGTAATTGCACTAAAGTCGAGGACACATTTCCTTCAATCTCCCACTTGTCCGAGACAAGTATGCAATATTCAAATTCCTTAAGTCTCTTAGTGTCTAATTTGATAGTATGATCACATCTCTATGTTATCCATATCGGCGTTCAAATTATTTCTTGAAATCCGAGTTTGAATTGCTAAACAAATGATCATCTTATGATCCATTTGAGCACGGCCATGCATTTTCAATTCTTACTCTTCAAGAGGCCAAGACACCCATCCTATCTAACATAGGAGGACCTATTCAATCTTGTGGCAACCAAAACTCCCACTCAACTTTTAGCACAACCCGATTGTCGCCTTTATAGTCCCCTTTTACGGCATAACGTTTGACAACATCAATGTTACACTAATCATTGAATTGAGTAGTGTTCCACTCATGTCTAAGGAATCCGCTAATATAATTCGCGAAGTTTTAAAACTTCTAAGTAGGTCTGTTCGATCATGTATCAACTATACATATCCATATGATTGACTAAACATCTCCATGTTTCCATAGCGCATGAAACGGCACCATCAATCAATCTTATATGCTAATCCTTTTATTGAGTCATTTATGTCCAAATTAACAACTCATATTAGGAACTTAAATATTTTATGAATCCAGTTCACTTATGGGGTTTCATTCATCAAATCACGTATTTGACAAGCCCATTAAATTCAATAAATATGTTGGACATTTTATTTAATACTTAACCAAAATTAAATAAGATGAAAAATTCATACTATATAAACATAAAACATGAAATCATGTCTTTAACTTGTAACAAGTTTCTCTAAACAAAAATAATTTAAAGCCATTCTAACACTTGCTTCAACCCTACAGCCCTAGCATGATGTTCATGCTTGGGTTGAGGGAGAGGTTTAGTGAGTGGATCAGCAACATTCTCATCCATGTGAACTTTGCAGATCTTGACATCATTCCTATCTACAATCTCGCGACTGAGGTAATACTTCCTCATTACATGCTTGGATTTGTCGTTTGATCTTGGTTCTTTTGCTTGCGCAATAGCTCCATTATTATCACAAAACAACTCAATTCCTTCTAGAACACTAGGTACAATCCCTAGTTCTGTTAGGAACTTCTTTATCCAAACAGCTTCCTTAGCTGCTTCTACCGCCGCTAAATATTCTGATTCTGTCGTAGAGTCTGCTATAGTGCCTTGCTTTGAACTCTTCCAGCTCACTGCTCCTCCATTAAGACAAAAGATGTACCCTGATTGCGAGCGGTAATCATCTCTGTCGGTTTGGAAACTTGCATCATTATAACCTTTAACAACCAACTCATCTACTCCTCCATAGACCAAAAACATTCCTTTAGTCCTTCTCAAGTACTTTAGGATGTTCTTAGCCGCAGTCCAGTGTGCTTCACCTGGATTTGCTTGGAATCTGCTGCATAAGCTCAGAGCAAATGCAACATCCGGTCGAGTGCATATCATGGCATACATGATAGAACCGATAGCCGAGGCGTAAGGTATGCTACTCATTCGCTTTAACTCATCAGGCTCCGATAGGCACTGACTCTTGCTAAGCGAAATGCCATGAGACATGGGAATGAATCCTCTCTTAGAGTTTTCCATATTGAACCTTGCAAGAACCTTATCAATATAAGTCTCTTGGCTCAGTCCAAGCATCCTTTGAGACCTATCTCTATGGATTTTGATTCCCAAAATGTACTCAGCTTCTCCAAGGTCTTTCATAGAAAAACAACTTCTCAACCATTCCTTGACTGACTCAAGCATTGGTATGTCATTTCCTATGAGTAGTATGTCATCTACATACAAAACCAAGAAGACTAAGCTACTCCCACTAAATTTCTTGTAGACACAAGATTCTTCTTCACTCTTGAGAAAACCAAACTGTTTGATTGCCTCATCAAATCGAAGATTCCAGCTCCGAGACGCCTGCTTCAATCCATAAATGGATCTCTGAAGCTTGCAAACTCTTTTGGGATTTTCTGGATCCTCAAAACCCTCAGGTTGTGTCATGTACACATCCTCCATCAAGAACCCATTCAAGAAGGCGGTTTTGACATCCATCTGTCAAATTTCATAATTGTAATGTGCAGCAATCGCCAAAAGTATCTGAATTGACTTAATCTTTGCCACTGGAGAAAAGGTTTCATCATAATCTATACCATGTATTTGTTTGAATCCTTTTGCAACCAGTCTTGCTTTATAGATATAGACATTTCCATTCTTGTCTGTTTTTATTTTGAACACCCACTTGCATCCAATAGGTTTAACCCCATCAGGCAAGTCGACTAGGGTCCAAACTTTGTTCTCAGACATGGAGTCCATTTCAGATTTCATGGCCTCAAGCCATTTCTCAGAGTCTGGGCTCGTCAAAGCTTGTTTGTAGGTAGTAGGCTTTCCAAAATCAATATTTCAGAGTCTTCTGTTAACAGGAAATCAACCAACTGCTTGTTTGGGATCCTTGTTCTACTCGACCAATGTGGGGCTTGAGCATCAATAGAAATATTCTCTTCAATATCTTGAAGATTTTCTCATGAATTAGATTCAAGTGGGATGACAGGAGTTTCGCTTAATGAATTAGCTTTCTCTGACACCTGACCTGTCATAGCAGAGTCATGCGCCCTCGCCTCTGACGTGGTTGGATCCACATCCATTTGTTGCTCATCTCGAATTTCTTCGAGAACTATTTTACTCCCACTTGTCTTTCTGGAAATAAATTCCTTTTCAAGAAAGACACCATCACGAGCAACAAACACTTTGTTCTGTTGACGGTTATAGAAGTAGTAACCCCTTGTCTCTTTTGGGTATCCCACAAAGAGACATTTATCTGATTTGGGTGCAAGTTTGTCTGACAGTAAACGTTTTACAAAGACCTCACAACCCCAGATTTTAAGAAAGGATAAGTTCGGAACTTTTCCATTCCACATCTCATATGGAGTCTTTTCTACAGCCTTTGACGGGTTCCTATTTAGTGTGTGTGCAGCTGTTTCTAGAGCATATCCCCAAAAAGAAATTGGAAGATCAGCAAGACTCATCATTGATCGAACCATATCCAGTAAAGTTCGATTCCTCCTTTCAGACACACCATTTAACTGTGGCGTCCCTGGTGGAGTTAGCTGTGAAACTATTCCACAATCCTTTAGATGATCATCGAATTCTTGGGTCAAATATTCGCCACCACGATCAGAACGTAATGCTTTTATTGTTTTACCAAGTTGATTCTGTACTTCATTTTGGAATTCTTTGAACTTTTCAAATGATTCCGACTTATGCTTCATTAAGTAGATATACCCATATCGACTTAAATCATCAGTAAAGGTGATGAAGTAACTAAACCCACCTCTTGCCTTTGAACTCATAGGACCACAAACATCTGTATGTATAAGTGCCAAGAGATCATTGGCTCTTTCACCCTTTCCAGTAAAAGGTGACTTTGTCATTTTCCCCAACAAGCATGATTCACATACATCAAATGATTCATAATCGAATGATGTAAGGATTCCATCCTTTTGTAACTTTTGGATGCGCTTTTGGTTTATATGACCCATCCGGCAATGCCATAGATATGTTGGGTTTAAATCATTCGACTTTTGTTTCTTGCTATTTATGTTATAGACTTGTACTGTCCTATCAAGTACATATAAGCCATTAATCAATTTTGCACTAGCATAGAACATGTTATTGTAAGAAATGGAACAACATTTGTTCTTAATCTCAAAACAAAAACCTTCATTACCAAAAACAGAAACAGAAATAATGTTCTTAGTAATTGACGGAACGAAATAACAATTATTAAGTTCTAAAATTAATCCAGACGGTAAATGCAGACTATAACTTCCGACGGCAAGTGCAGCAACTCTTGCTCCATTTCCGACGCCAAGCTCCACCTCGCCTTTTGCTAGTTTTCTACTTCTTTTTAGTCCCTGCACATCATTAACTATGTGAGAACCACAGCCGGTATCAAATACCCATAAAGAAGTAGAAGTCAAATTAACTTCTATAACATAAATACCTGAAGTAGAAGCACTTGACTTCTTATCCTCCAAGTACTTGGGGCAGTTTCTCTTCCAGTGACCTATCTTCTCACAGTGGAAACATTTGCTTTCCGCAGCAACTTTTGGTTTAGCGGTCTGCTTAGGCTTTTTAGAACTTTTGACAACTTGCTTGCCTTTGTTTTTCTTGCCTGCCCCCTTCTTTTTGAAACCCTTTCCCTTTTGAACCATCAAAACCTCTTTCTTTGGTTCTTTGGGAATGTTCCTTTCAGCATTGACAAGCATCCCATGCAATTGAGTCAAAGTCTTTTCAGACTCATTCATGTTGAAAGTCATCCTGAACTGATTAAAGCTGTCAGGCAATGAATGGAGAATGATATAAGTAGCCAACTGTTGGCTATAAGGGAATCC